TGTACATGTTGTTATATTTATCGATCATTGAATTGACCGATGATAACAATAATAGTAATGACAACAAAATAAAACGTAATAGTAAAAAGATGCTTAGAATCCAGATCTCGTGACCAGAAAATACGTTAACATTGGTACTACCAACACGTTGTGCGACAAGTCTTTGACGATCTGAGGTAAAGGCTCCAAGACAAGGAGATCAGTTTTGGTCATTTTGAACAGTTCAAAACGTCAGAGAAAGACAGAAACCTAGCGGTAGACAACGGCAGACACTACGCAAAAAAATATCTAAAGCGAAACACGATTTCCTTCCGTTCCAGTCAAGTATCTGCTTCGCTCAACCTGACGTTTTGAACAAAAAATTTCGGTTTCACGAAACATGATAAATTAGATATATAGCAAAAATGGGATTCGCGATGATAAAAATAACCACTCATCATTTTTAGAAAACGAAAATATTTCTGTTCAAATTTCAACTTTAACAAAATTTGGAAATCATTTCAAGCCAGCGCAGCAAAAAAAAAAAAAAAAAGACTCATCACAAAGTTTCGCCTTTTGATTTTGATCTCATCCTTCTCCAACAATTCGGTTTACTAAGTTGAGAAACAAAATTAAAATGTTTAGAAGATTCGGATTCGTTACGTATCTGCACTTAATATCAATTGAGTCACAATCTCAGTCACAGTCACAATATTAAACAAATATAACATTCACAACAGAACATTTCCCGTAGAACAAACATTTTCCAAAATTGCGAATTGGGAAAAAATGTTACCGCAAAATGTCGAAATCCACAAAAGAATTACACATTGATTTTTATCATATAATACAAAAATAATAATCGCGAGTTACACAGAAATTACAATAAAAATTATTTAAATAAAAAAAATCAAATTACTAATACCAATTTTATATTGAAGTTTCAAAAAATAACCAATGTCTTACCAAGAGTTATTGTCATTATTATCGCCGGAAAGAAAAGAATTTGTAAAATTAACATATAACAAAATGTTGAATATTAAGGATGAGCATCAAATGAATAAATATTTGTCATTAGCAAAAAAATCTTTACAAAATACTTTTAATAATGAAAGAGGTTTAAATGAAAACGACAGAGAATCTCAAAAGAATATATATTTATTATTAGTAAAAGAAAATAAAGAACTTTCAGAAAATGAAAAAAAATATTGTAGAGAAAGATATATTTACGAATATGAATTAGTCAATGCAAGCCGTAAAATTGGGAATCCAACAGGATGCAAGTATTGTAAGATGACAAGATATTCTGATAAATTTTGTGAAAAATGTATTTGTTTACATTTACAGTCGCTTTCTGAAACTTGGACATCTGGAAATAAAATTATTGATAACTTTATTCAAGAATGTCAAAAGCGTTCATCTCTTCCAACAAATATTATGGAATGGATACCTTTTGATCAATTTGAAGGGGTGAAATATTTAACTAGAGGAGGATTTGGTAAAATTTATACTGCATCATGGAGAAAAGGACGCATCTTTGATTATGACGAAAATAAAAAAGAACTCTCTTATTATGGACGTCAAGATGTAGTATTAAAATCATTAAATTCAAATGATATTGGAAAAAAATTTTTTGATGAGGTCAGTAATAATTATTATATAAAGTGAAATAAATCATTTTTCAAAAAATAATATTTAATTCCATATTTATATAAATAAATAATTTAGGCTTTGGTTTATTGTATAATTAAATCAAAATTGGTTATTCCTTGTTATGGTATAACTAGATTCCCAGAAGGAAATTATGCAATGGTTTTAACTTATGTACCATTAGGAAATTTAAGAGATTTTTTATGGAAAAATAATTTAAAATTAACATTAAAAGATAGAATGTTATTAATTAGGAGTTTATGTCAATCATTGTATGAAATACATAAAAAAAATTTAATTCATTGTGATTTACATAGTGGTAATATATTGGTACAAGCCGGTAATAGTTGTTATATTACAGATTTAGGTTTATGTGGACCAGTTGATGATGAATCATCAAACAAAATTTATGGGATCGTGTCATATATTGCACCAGAAGTTTTTAAAGAGAGAAAATATGCAAAACAATCAGATGTTTATAGCATTGGAATGTTAATATGGGAAATATTTGCAGGTTATCCACCATTTAACAATATAGCTCATAATCACCATTTAATGATTGAGATATGTAAAGGTTTACGACCACCAATATTACCAGGAATACCTGATGATTGTGCACAAATGATGAAAAGGTGTTGGGATGTGGATCCAGCCAAGAGACCAACTATTGGAGAACTTTATTATTTTTTTAAGGAGCATTTAAATAATTTAAATAAAATAGAAACTGAAACTATAATGCTTACAAGTAATTCAAAAGATAATAGTTTACAAATACAAAAACCACATCCATTAGCACATCATATAAGCAGAATATTAGAACCTATGTCATTTGAGTACTTTAACTCATTTATGCTAAAGGATAGTAATAGTCATAATCATTCATTAAATGAAGCTATTATTGCTGAAGATAGTAATAGCCCTAATCACTCATTAAATGAAGCTGTTGCTAAAGATAGTAATAGTCATAATCATTCATTAAATGAAGCTGTTGCTAAAGATAGCACTAGTCATAATAATTCATTAAATGAAGCCGTTGCTAAATATATGCCAAAAGATAGTAATAGTCATAATCATTCATTAAACGAAGATGATGTTAAAAAACTAATGCAACAATTAAGCAGTATGTTAGGTGAAGTCATTGCTAATGATTCATTAAATGAATATGATAAAAACCAAATACAACAATCAATCATAATATTAGATGAATCTATTGTTAAGTCAAAACGTTTAACGGATATTGTTAAAAATAATTTTCCATTAAATAAAGATGATATAGAACAAATAAAACAAACAATCAAAATATCTGAAAAAAACATTGAAGCCACTGCCAGATCAAAAAAATTAGGCAATATCATAAACAGAATATTTGAAAACTCCACATCATCATTTGAAAAAATTTGAGTGATTGGTTCTGATAAAGGTAAATTATAATATAATAGAAATTATCAATCATTAATTTTATTGCTAACAAGGTATTTTATTAATATTAGATTCTAATGATGATGGTAATGGAAAAGGTATTGAAAAGATTAGTGAAATTGATAGGACTAATGAGTGTGATAAATTGAGTGAATTGTATGAATTTGTTGGATAAATTAGATGAATTACAATGAAGTACTGATTGTCAATTGCTAATTGATAATTAATTAATTTGTATTTATTCTACTTATTATATTACAGTTCACTCTCTATAACGGCCTGCCTGATTTGGCAAAAAAAGGCCGTTATAGAGAGTTTGCTGATCATAGTCATGTGATAAATTATAATGCGATACAATATATTTTTTATACGATAAAATATTTAAAAAATAAATGAAATAAATGAAAATAAACTATTTATAATTTGCATATTTATTCAATATTAAAAAAGTTATCTAGTGTGGATTATTGTTGTGGGTTAAAATCAATTTTTTTAATTTTTCTTTTAAGACTTTTCAATAATTTAAAAACATCCTCATTTAATTCTGATTGCTGGTCAATGTAAATTTCTAATGTTTTTATTTCTGGCAAGGCTTCTTTATTTGTAACAGGTGGAAGTTCTTCAATTATTTCTTCCTGGCTTTCATTTTCTTCTGGTGGATTAATTATTGTAATTATGTCATTTAGATTTATTCATCACTTACATGAGAGTCATCAATTTCAATGTATTCAGACACAGATATAGGATTAGGAAATGTAAGTTCATCAATCAAATTTTGCAAATAATTGAGCTCTTACATTCAATGAATTTAAAATTGATGACATATTTTCAATTTCGTTGGAATTAATATCATAATCAGGTAAAATACCAGTTTTTTCCAGCAGTTAACTATAGTTTGACTGGTAACTTTTTTCCAAACTTTTGCTGTAAATTTAATTGCATGTTTAATTGAAATTTTTTCATATTCTTGACCGTTTATTTCTCTCTTCTTCATAATCACTAATTTTTTTGCAAGAAAAATTTTTTGTAGTTCACCTTGAAGTTGTTGATTATCCAGGCATCACATGGTTGTAAAAATGTTGTTGTGTTTGGTAAGAAGTAAACTCTTACATTAATTAAATTTGTTGATTCAGAAATTGAATGAGTGGGAGCATTGTGACAATAAGCGCGTTCAAATTATTAATATTAAATAATTGAGACATACTGAATTTCTTAATTTGGTAATGATTACCTCAGATCATGATCGTCGGCCGTTATAGACAACATATAAAACATATGAGAGAATTTTCAGAGGCTGACCGTTATACGCTATAGGAAATTTAATTAAGAAAACCGTTATAGAGTAAGGTTTTTATATAGTAAAAATTTGGTTTCTGATTCACAGTGCGTTATAGAATGGAGGCCATTATAGAGAGAGTGAACTGTAATAACAAATCTGATTTGTCAACCACAACATAATAATATTTACCAGTTGGTTGATGATTAGAAAATAAATTGAGATCATTATAATTTACATATACAGGTAATATATCATAAATAAATTATTTTTGCAAATTTATCAATTTCTATAATTTCTATTGTTATTTATCTAATTTACATAATTCATTAAAATTACAATCAATATTATTGCCCAATAATTTTTTAAAATCATTCCAAGCACAAAATTCACTTCTACAGTTTGGTAAAGTTATAATTTTTTCATTCAATAACACTTGAATGTAAATTGATTTCATGATATTTTTGTAATTCTTATTATTATCATTACTACCATTATTATAATCACACTGATAAATTTCAAAATATATATTAGATCCAAAAGGTGCAATCTTGCTTGTTTTAAATTTGCGCAAAGAAACTTGATCTGATGTTAAGTTAAAATTTAAAGAGAATCCATCTTTATATAAATCCTAAAAAAAAGTTTTTTTTGATTAATTAATTTAGACAAATAATAATCAACTTAGATTTATAATTTCCTTTCTTACCAACATGGTAATTATAAAAAGTATCGTCTCAGCATGAGCAAATCGTAAAACAGCTTTAGTTTTTGATTTATTAAAAGCAAGATTTTCAACTTCATTTACTAAGCCTGTGAAAAACCTACAAGCCAATCTTGTATTTAATTGATTGCCATAAGAATATAAAAAATAATAACCAATATCATTAAAATATTCTAATGACAATACATCATCATTCCTCAGTAGATTACACCATCTACTACCATTGCCATCACCATCACCATTATTAATATTTTTTCCACTTCTATCAAATAAAGAAATATCATATCCACAAATACGATAAATATGTTCCAGATATTTTGGTTCCAGTGGTGGTTGAATATTTAATTTTCTTGAAAGATGCTTTGATATTGATGTAACGTTGAAATTTAAATAATTTTTTTCTTGTTCTAATTTATGTTTATTTTTGGATTTATTAAGTGTTGAAACCCATTTAGGACATGAACGGTGCATTGACAATTCTGTATCTAATTCCTTTACATGCAAATTAGAAATATTAGAAATGCTAGAAATTGCTAGAAATATAATATCAAACAATATTAAATAATTACTCTAGGTAAAAAAGAAACATAAATTGGTTGCAATTTTAATAAACTCAATGTTCCATAACCTGTAAATAATCCAAGTGAATAAGCAATTCCAGATTGTCCAGTTCTACATGTACAATGAATATTATTTATATTATTTATTTGTTTTTACTTTAATAAAAAAAACCTCCTAACCTTGCAACTGATGAACTTTGAAATTTTATAATATTTGGATCATATGTAATATTTTGCCAAAATTTTTTATATCTTGAACGAGATCTTTTACCCAACAAATATAATTCTTCTTCACCTTTTGCTACTAATAAACCTGCCTGTGAGTAATGATATGGATGACTCTAGTAAGTTAATTAGATTTATTATTAATTAAGTTTTCTTTTTTGATGATGATGGTGGTAACAATAATAATAATAATATTTTACCCAATTTTGTTGTGTATTGGTAAGTTTTTCAACTAATGAATCAAATTTTTTAATATCACCAAATGTTGGATTTCTTGTACCTTAGATAATATACACATAAATATAATTACATACTTAATATAAAAAATTTTAATTATAAATTATTGTAATTGTTTTTACCATGTCTTGCAACAAGTTGAAGTTGTATTAATTCACATTTGTCAGGTATTTTAACTAATGGTGAAGTTGATGATTTGATCGGATAAGAGCTTTTGGTACTTTGATGTTTTCTTATATCAAATATAAATTCTTCATTATAATTAATATTGTTATTGTTGTTAATAATAATATTATTGTTATTGCTGTCTTGTTTAATATAATAACTAAATGATAATAATAACCCCTTTTGAGTTATTAAGATAAAAATAAAACCTAATGACCAAATACTAATAAATGTAAACACAATTTGATCAATTATCATCTTTTTATTCAAGTCCTGACCATAATTCTATACGAACTAGGGGATAGTTAATTTAATGGGGTACAACAAAAGGTTACACGATATAATGATTTTCAGCAGTGATGGAACACTAATTCCTGGGTTGTATGGTGCAGGACACCTAGCATAATGGAATTTTGTTTTTGATCGACATTCGAAATTATCACGTTACACGACCTACACAATCTTTATTATACGGAAAATACA